ATAGGGGAGATGCCTTAAATGCTGCCCGATATATACCATTATCGTCAGGTTTGATTTCTTTTCCGATCGCTAAATCGTCTCAGAATTCCATAACATGTTGGGTAAAACTGATTATTTCAAGTATCGGCTATCCCCTATACTATGACAAAATACGCCTACACACGGAACTAATCATTCTTTCTTCAGGAGGTATAATTATATAGGGGAGATGCCTTAAATGCTGCCCGATATATATCATTATTGTCAGGTTTGATTTCTTTTCCGATCGCTAAATCGTCTCAGAATTCCATAACATGTTGGGTAAAACTGATTATTTCAAGTATCGGCTATCCCCTATACTATGACAAAATACGCCTACACACGGAACTAATCAGCTACACACGGAACTAATCAGCTAACTATATTAATATAAGAAGGGGGTTATATGGGAACTACCCCTAAAAGGGGCGAATATTAATAATTTTTGTAGGAAGATTTATTACCATATGCGACTACAAAATACCAAATAACAGCGAATTCGGATGAAAAACGCGCTCAAGAACCCCAAAATACTGAAAATTGAAGGTGTTTTATATGGGGGCTACCTGAAAAAATTGAACTATATTTATAATTTTTAGTAGAGAAATCTGGTACCCAATAAGAACCCAAGTTTCGGCGAATTCGGTTTACAAACGCGCTTAAACCCCCAAAATACCGTAAATTGGGGGGTACCAATATATGGTACCAGAAAAAGTGGACCGATATTTATAATTTTTAGTGGAGACAATTGGTACCCATAAAGAACCCAATGTACCAAATTTCAGCGAATTCGGTTGAAAAGCGCGCTCAAGAACCCAAAATATCGAAATTGGGCGGTACCCTTATATGGGGGATATGCCTAAACGTGGACCGAAATAACCCGTCTTCGAACTTGACCTGCTTATCTGTCTCAATTCTTTCAGAAGATAGCGTGATTACAACAGACGGACGGACATGGCTAGATCGTCTTAGAATTTTACCCTGATAAAGAATATACATATATATGTATAGGGTCGAAAATAATTATTTCGATGTTTTACAAGCGGAATGACAACATTAATAAACCCTCCATACTATGGTGGATGGTATAAAAATCGAAAACCAATTCGAATTACTGATGATTCTTGCAAGTTCACATTTTGTATTTTCATTTCTGTGGAAAAACATTCCCACCCCTGAATTCATTATTCTGCTAATGGCTTATAACAGCTGGATTTTGTTTACAAACAAAAATCATGCTATGCATTTGGTTTGCCTCTTCTTTCATTCCAGAACGTCACGAAGTGTTTCCATAAACAACAAATGGAGAATGGCAAGATGACGAAAAAGATTCTGATGGTTTGTATGGGTAAAAATCTAAATACAAATATACTGTTTTAAAAAATAAAAATCTTCATCCCCTCTATTTATAGGAAATATCTGCCGCTCACCCATAGCCGAGGCGGTAATGCGAAAGGCACTACAACGCCGAGGTTTTGATAAGGAATGGCTGGTCGACAGTGCAGCTATGGTTGGTTATCATTCTGGTTCTTTGCCCGAAGAACGTGCCCTCAATGTTCTACAACAGCATGGCATTCACTATGACAAAGAAGCACGAGTTATAAATTCACAAGATTTCCAAGAATGTGATTATATTTTCGGTATGGATATGGATAATGTTGCGGAACTTCGTAAAATTGCTCCATCTGAATGTAAAGCAAAAATTATGCTATTAGGCGATTTTGGTCTACCGGAAACGGAAAAGATTATACATGATCCATATTACGTAGGTTGATGCTTGAAGATAATGCTCTGATTGGTATAAAAATGTATTTTGATTTTCTTCTTTTTTTCAGTTTCTTGGCGAAGCGCCATTCGAAGAGGTCTATGATAAATGTGCGGTGGCCTGCAAAGCATTTATAGAGGATATTGTTATGAAAGCTCAGTGATAAAAGGGATTATGATGTATTTTTTTATATTGAAAAGTTGATTTGTTTTTCTATGATTTTTTTTAAATAGAATTTTTATAAACATTTAATTTTAAAAACATTTTATAATTTATTTAATGTGTGTAGTATTGCTCAGAATAATATCCATAATACAAATAAGAACTAAAATAATTTGCGATGAATGACCTCAGAATGAGGTGAATTGGTTTCGATCAACAGAACTGCTGCAACAATTTAAGCCAAGCCCAATTGATCAAATATATGGATCTATAACAATATTTGGATCAATATTAATTCAGGATCTGCGAGTGAAGTGACTTCCGCATTGCATACTTTATCGCCGTCCTTCCAAGAACTATCTACTTTTAAAAACATGGTCTCCGAGTGAAATGCCTACCTTATTGCTCATTTTTATACCCTCCACGGTAGTGTGGTATATAGGGTATAATAAGTTTGTTTTTCCCTCTGTAATTTTGCATAGAGTTGTCTTTTGTCTTGAGACACGACAAGTTCGAAGATGGGCTATATCTGTCCACGTTTAGTCATAGCTCCCATATAAGGGTACCCCAATTTGAACGAAGTAGCTGTAATTTGGTACTTTAGGTTCTGATTTTGTATCAATATTTTGAGGAAACCCCTATAACGGTACCAAAATTGTCGGTATTTTGGGGGTTTTAGCGCTTTTTCAACCACGTTCGCCGTAATTTGGTATTTGGTAACAAATATCCCTACCAATAAATTATAAATGTTCGCCCCCTTTGCGGATAGTCCCCATATAACCCACTTTTTATATTAAAATAGTTAACTGATTTGTTCCGCGTGTTGAGGTTGTCCCCAATAGGCGTATTCCACCATAGTATGGGGGATATTTTGTACTGGAAGTTTCTCTAGACGATTATAAGAGGAAATATCCATCTGTTGTAATCATTTTACCTTCGGATAATATCGAGATAAAATAAAAAAAGTGGGAAAAATATAATTTAATTTGGTTTTTGTCAAAGAGGTTTCGGATTTAATGTTGATCAAACCGGTTTATTATTCAATTCGCTTCAAATTAAAATTTATAACATGTTGACCAAGGTCTATATATAAAGGTCATCCAGTAAGTGCAATTGATATCTAAATTTTATGTCAAAATATATGAAATTCAAAAAATTACCATAGTTAGCATTGACAAGGGCATCGACAAAAATTTCAATTTGTTTTAACTTTTGTCCTAAAATGCACAAAATGTTTAAAAAACAACCAAAACAACAACATCTGACAGAAAATGTTGACATAGGGTTGTATATTTCCTGAAATTCACCTTCTTGATGACCTGATATTTGGGCCATGATATTGACCCTTTGTGGGGAGTTACAGAAGGAGTAAATATAATCGGAAATGATCTTGACTTGGCAAAGATAATAGGTTGTGCAATGTCTGTTATAACTCGGAAATTCCTTTCACCTGATATTGGATTTATAAATGTTGAAATTTTTGACCATAAGTGGGGGAGGTACCAGAAGGAGTCCACTAATGAGTCCCATCTTCGGGCTTGATCTAGACATGGTAAAGATAATTATTTGTGCAAAGTTTGGTTACATCGGAAATTCTTTTCTACTGATATTGTATTTATATTCAGGAGTGGACCAGTGGGTCTCATATTCGAAATTGATCTAGGATTGGTAAAGATAATAAGTTGTGCAAATATTGGTTCAAATTGTACATCTCATTCGCCTAATATTGAATTTATATACAGTGAAATTTTTCACTATTTGTGCGGGAGGTGCCGAAAGGGATGAACCAATCGTCCCATCTTCAGACTTGATCAAGACTTGGAAAAAAAAACAGGTTGTGCAAAGTTTGTTTCAAATCGGACATTCGTATCGCCTGATCTTGAAATTGAAGTATTGAAAATTGTTACCCTTTATGGGGTAGATACCAGGAGGAGGTGGCCAATTCGTCCTATATCTGAACTTGATCTAGGCTTGGTAAATATAAAAGGTTGTGCAAAGTTTGGTTCGAATCGGACATTACTTTCCCCACATTCGATTTATAAATATTGAAAATCCTAACCAAATGTGTGGGAGGTACCGCAAGGAGTGGACCCAATAGTTCCCATCTTCGTACTTGGTAATGATAAAAAACGGTCACTCCCTTTAAGCGCACCAGCCGTCCAGACAGACGAACTGACAAGAACGTCAGTTTCGAGAATGAAATATATCGGCTAGCATTTAGACCTAGGTCCCATATAATGATACTCCCCGATTTTCGGTAATTATTATATTCGCTTCGAAATTGAGTTATATCGGTCCTTAATTAGGCATAGTCACTCACATAATGATAGCCCCAAATATTTGCTAATTCCTACACGATGTAATCAATATTGGACCCGCTTTAGGTAAAGCCTCATATAACTTTGTCCTCTGAATTTCGGTATTATGAGGATATTATACACATGTTCCACCCCATCAATATATATCAATAAAAATTACTAAAATGTGTATTTGGTGTGCATTATGATATACAACAATCGATTGGTAGAATTGTCCCCATTGGTCCACTTTTTGGAATGTTCCCTATATTTTCATTTCAACTACTTCCAGTATAGCCATGGTGGAGGGTATCCGGTCGAACTTGCTTTTTTCACTTGATTTATTTACTCTTTATTTTTCCAGCAACTTAGTCCGACTTGCCGCTTCAACCCTTGCTTTACTATTCTCTGTAAAATAATAAACACAAACATTCAATTATTTGAATAAAAAAATTTAACAACTTTATTACATTTTACTTGCTTCTGTTTTGTTTGTTTTCTCTTATAAACTAAAGTATATATTTATATATGTATGTAGTATGTTGTTGTTGTTTTTATGTATTTAATCATATAGTATATATAATTGTAAAATTATTACACACATTCATTCTCTATAATATAAAAAAAATAATCACCAGCAACTTATGTCCATCCATTCATTCATTTCGACACATCTATTGCCACACATCGCCAATTGTTCCTCCATATGAATTAATCTTGTCCCCGTTTTATTCCAGTTTCGTCGTCGTCATCGCCATTCAACAATTTTCATCTTTCCATTTCTTCTTTGCTTCAATTTTCGATTCAGGTACCAGTGAACTTTTAACACCGCCCAATATATTTGTTGTCGCCTGGGTAGCCAAGACGGCCGGACAAACAACAAGTTGTGGAACTTGACGCATAACAGCTCCAACAGCACCGGTTAAACCTTTTTGATCGTGTTCCGCCACAGCGGTCTCTATTAGATTATTGGCCGAATCGTTAATGCCATCTTTGACAATTTGATAGGCGTTCACCACTCCCTCACGAATATCTTTTGGTCTGTGCGTTCGTCGTTTATTGCCACGACGTGAACGTTTCAATTGCCGTACAGAAGGTCCAGGAGAAACCATATCAAACGCCGTCTCTGCAGTGAACTGTAGCAATTGTATGAGGCGAGATGTAATTTCCAATGCGGCCAGTATGGTTCGAGCACTGAAACTTTGTGCACCCAACTGCAGACCCCGTATGATGCGACCATCTTTCTGATAATGTTCAATAGGTAGCCAAAATAGATCATAGATACCCTGAAATAGTTGCACAAATGCATATGTCGGCCCCACACCACTCAAAATCTTGGGCAATTGATTGCGTTTGATATCCCTTAGCCATTCCTTGCACAGATAATTGAAAACCTTCTCAAAACCCAGAATGCCTCGGCGATAGACAATTTTCCGAAGAATTATTTCAGAACATTGCAGTTGACCCAAACCCATAAGCAGCCCTGCCACAGGACCTTTGGACAATTCCACACGACGTCCATGATAATCAAAACATATGGAGATGTCAGGACTGAAAATGATTTCACGGAAATATGTGGGTGAAGTATCGTTAGGGGGTGATTGTTTCGCTGTCTTCTTCGTCGGACTGGTACTACTTTCCGATTGGGTGTCATCCATTAGTATGTCCAAATTTTCATTGACAATACGCCGGGCCCGCAAATCCTGTACAGCTTCTGGCAAATCTAAGTCGCTGCACAACGTGGCTGTCGGCGGTGGTGCTGGCACTTTGGGCTTGTCCCCTTCCGGCTTGTCGCTGTCACAATTTTTACCAAAATTGGTAAAGAAATCCGTTATAAATTCCAATGTGTCCTGGTCGATGTGCAGACGCAAAGGTGAGAGAGATATTTTCAGAGAGCATTCCTGTGCTGGACTTTGTTCGGGATTTGGTCGTACATGCAGACACTTAACCACCACCATATGTTTCATACGACGATTTGAGAAACTGCTGCTATTCGCATTGTAAAGGAATTTATTGATTTCTGAAGTTTGTAGCCGGTCCCTTATTTCCAGCTCATTTACCAGGAATACCTGACGCGAGGCATATGCAGCATGCAGGGGATATAGTTCGTATGAGAAACCCACCTTGCTGAGTTGTATTTCCACCAGTACTTCGTGATTACGATTCTCGCCACCCTTCGATTTCCAGGTTAATTTTTCTTTGGGTTTTTTAGCCGTCTGTGGTCGACATTGGTTACTGGCATTCGAAACACCATGACGATATGCTTCGGACATGGTTGCTGTCTCAGCGGAGGATGCTGCTGTTGTTGTCGATGTTGTACTGCAAGGAGTTTGAGCAAAATCATGACCACCATACAAATGCCAGGTGACCGTCATTTCACATAGGGTGTAACGTAGATCGGCTTGTGGAAATGTGGGTGGGGCTTTTAGAATATCATTATGCGAGGATGGCAAGCCAAAGTGATTGTCAACAATGCGCAAAGGATCTTCGGATATTTTGATGTCTTCGAAATCCAATTCCACACGCTCCTCGCCCACAATAAAGCAATAATCGTCCTCCGAGGAACATTGGCTTTGCAGCTCTTTGACGGATTTTTGTTCTGCAACAACACCGAAATCACCTTTAATTAGCGGTAATGGTTCACCGACCGCAGCACTCGACGATGTACAGGGAATATCAAATTCTTGTGGGGTATTGGCCATGGCTGCAGCGGCCACATCTTTTGACGCCTCATCGGGGAAATAGAATAATTTCAATTCATCTACTTTGGGTGGAATAGTGGTCGTGGACATGGATGATGTTGACATATCACTTGCCTGCAGGACATCAACACCATCCTTCACGGCCTCAGCCATTAGCTGGTTAACGCGCTCCTGATGCCGATCACTGATATCTGCCGATGTTTGGGACTCGGCCAAAAGTAAGTCTGAGTCTGAACACAATGAAGATTGTAAAGATTCCTTATCACTGGCCTCTTCATCTTTGGCTATATTATTGGCTATATAGCCAATCAATTGGGCAAAGGCACTGCCCGAATCGTAGCAAGTCCTTAAATGGACATCTTGCAGCGAACATCTGAGATCTAATTTGGGATGTTTCTCCGTAGTCTCACCACTGATGCGTAGTGATATTTCCAGTAGACCGAAATCCAACACGGGTACCATATTGGCCGAGTCAATAAAGGTAACACGGTTGCTGGGAAGCACCTTGTTTGTATCATGAGGAGCAATGGAAAAGACACACTCCTCCAGGACAAAACGTAAATTACAACCTGTCATGGTGGAAATGATGTTGCTGCTCACCGAGAAGTAGAACAGCTCTAGCACCGCACGATAGGGAAAGTTGTCGGGACGAAAATCAATGGCACAATCCCATAAATGTAATTGCATTTCCGAGACCACACTAAACGGTTCATAACCTTCAATGGGATAGTCCATGACATCGAGGAAATCCAAAAGTTGATTCAGCCAAAAATACGATGGAGCCATGAGAATATAGCGGAGAGTGGTGTTTTTAATGCCTGCGGTTATTTTCAGGCGTTTAATGTGTTGCGGTAGATTTTTCTTGATTTCAATGGCCACAGTGACCATTTCACTGCGTTCGCCGGGCTTCTGGCCCACAATACCTTTGGTTAGACCTAAGGGAATTTTGTAGATGGTCGCCTTCATAAAGTCCTCTATGTGAGCTTTGCTATCACATCGCAACGGCGAATTCATGGGCACCACCCCACCATGATACATTTCAATTTCATTGACCTGCAGGCAGAAGTAGGCCAGGCAGGGATCATCACAGTAACCAGTTAAACTGAAAATTCTCAAATCTTCAATGTAGAGCAGAAATTTACCCGACACCTCAGGCAATATGTGATTCTCGGAATCGCGGACGGGTACAAAGATGGCAGCAGTGGCTTTGCCAACTTTTATTTCCACCGAACATCTGTGGCCATGGCGGGTATTGTTGAAATCTTTCGATGATGTTAACAGCGATTTAAAGTTTCGTGAAGTTTTATGTCTACGACGTTGTGATGTTAACGTCTCATCATCTTCATCATTGGTATGTTCATCGTCACCATCGTCGTTATCATCATCCTCCGCTAAGTCGTCGTCATCATCATCATCGGCATAATTTAAATGATGTTGCGACTTTGTTTGTTGTTGCGGTGGCTCACCAAATGGATCATTATCGGGCTGTTGTACAGCTGAAATATAAACCGAATCCATCAGACCCAAATTTGGCATACCCAAAAAACTTTTCTCTTGCATCGGAGTTCCAGTCAGATACGGAGATGATGGTTCCCACATAAACAAATCAGAGTTTAGGCGATTATAGATCAACTCAAACAGTTGCTTCGATTCCAAAAACAAATTAAGGCTGGGAAAACTTATGCGTATTCCAATCACAGATGAGGCCATTGATTTTTGGCAAAATTCATTTATTTCATGAGTTTCGCCTGGCAGTAAAATAGTTTCGGTAACATCAGACTCCATTCTTGGCTGGGCAGTGCTACTCTGGCGACAATTACGTTTCGAACTAAATGGCAAAAGGGGTTCTTCATCTTTGCCAAAGACATAGCTATCCTTGATGTCTATACATATTGAGGGATATTCAAGTTGGGTGGCATCCTTGCCGGCGACAGGTGTGGTTGCTTCACAGCGAGTATTTAAAATGTGGGTCTTTTCCTTCAGACCATCTTCACAGTAGTAAATATTGATTTCATTCGATGTCAAATTTATTTTATTTTGGCAGTACTTAAGATGCATCTGTTCCAGGGAGAGTAACAGGAAATCGGGTCTAATATTTTGTTTCCACCAGGGAATACGTTCGGGATCATGAGCAGGTTTTGCATCGACAATGGGAAATCGCAGATGAATATCTAAATTGGCGCAATTTAAACTTATCACTGTATTATCGCTGCTTGGTGCCGCATCACTGTCGTTCAATGTTGCCTTGGGGCAGGTCTTAGCCGGGGTTTGAGCAAACAAGGCACCCAAGCGATCGATAATCGAAACATCAAATTCCAATGTGCATGGGGCCAAATCAAAATTGACCGTGGTTGATGATTTATTTTTTAAATTATTGGAATTTATCGAGTTGATATTCAAAATTAATTCGGATCTTATTTGGCCACCGTCTCTTGTGCGTTTACGTTGACCGAAAGCCAACAGTTCGGTTACCTTGCCTTCGAGAACCTCACAAAAGTCCAATTGCGTAGCCGAGACGGTGGCATTGAATTGCAGCAGGCTTTTGTTGCGATTCTGTTTGCCCTCTGCCACCAGGGGTTGCATACGCACCAAAATGTGATTTTTATCACAAAGAACATTGGGAGTGGCCTCTTGATCCTGATGGCCATCACAAGACCCCTGATGTTGGACCAATTCAAAAAATCTTTCTGACACATTGGTCTGTTCATTCACACTTTGTTCATTGTAAAGACTTTCATAGTAATTCGATGCGGACTCCACCAAAATATCCTCCTGCAAAACTACCCATACAAATGAGCCGATCTTAACCACAAAATTAGAAATTTCCCCGGACGAATCGAGATTTGTGGGTTTACGCTGATAACGTGAAACACTAGTCAGCGTGCTGCGTGAACTCATCGATGAACTTAACGACTCGCAATATTTATCTTGACTACTGTGCAAATTCCGGTGTATGGTGTTTGCATATTGTATGTGATGCGGGGGAGGGGGGTCATCAGCACTGATCCATGCCGACTGATTGCTAAGCATGCCACCCCCGCCCACTGTTAGATTTTCATAGCCATCCGTTGTTGTGGTTGCCTCTCCCGATACATGTACCACATCGACATCATGCAGGCTGGAATGCTGTGTTTGCTTCTTGGGGTTTAGATCATCCGTAAATGCTTCTATAAACTCCAATATCATTTGTATTTGATGGGGCGAACATATGCCACAGATACCACCCAATTCCACATAGAAGTAAATTTTAGGGCCCGTCACATCCTCCGATTGTTTCACCTTTACCTGGACACTTTGCTCCCCGTTCAATTGCAAAAGGGGGATATCTTGTTGATTACTATTTCCCATTGCCTCCGAATCGGATTTTAATTCTTGTGTATAAATATGGGCTCCCCTCAAGCTTATGTTGTGCTTTGTGTATGTGGGTATGCGATTCAACATCTCCTCCGTACTGTCCATGCCCTGATGTTGTTGTTGCTGCTGCTGTTGTTGTTGTGTCGTGGCACTTTTCTCATTGCCCGTCTCATTTTTATACAACACCTCTTCGAGATGCACCTTAAACGCAATACCTTTGAGCGTACTCACCAATGGGTGTTCTATTTGTATGGTAATATTTGTAAACTTTGCCCTAATGCGATTCAGAACATTGTCAATGGTCTCGGCGAATTTCTCTAGACCACCTATTGTTGTGTGTGCAGTCGCATTTGCATCTTCTGACTCATTCTCTTCTTGTCGCATATACTCCTCGGCCAGTTGCAGCGAACTGCTAACCGATGACCACATCGATTCGATCATGGAGGTTCCATCGTGTTCCCGTTTAACGGGTCGCATGCACAACACCACATCGGATACCTCGATGGCACTGTCGCTTGTCATTAGGGCATTCCAGGGCACCGACAATGTCAGCTGGCCTATATGGCCATCTGTGAATTCCAATGGCCAGCCTTGGGCCTCCAATAACTCATTCAAAGTCTCCACACGCAACGAGACATTTTTGATTGTGGCCTTGCCATTGTATAGCTCGATGTTCAACTGTTCCAAGTTGAGATTCTCATCGAGAAATTGGCCCAGATACCGTTGCAGTAAATAACGACACGTCTTATTCTTCAGCCCATCCCACACATTAAACCACGACATATTTTTCTATTCTCCACCACACTCACGTCGTTCTCACGTACGTCTCGTCTAAGTCTCGGTGTGATTTTTTCCCTTGAAATTGTTCATTAAATTGGAATTATTTAATTTTTCGTTTGCTGTTGCGTTATTTTCTCTACTTTATTATTTATTTTTCCGTGTTTATGTTTATGCTTTTCTGGCTATTGCGTATTTGTATTGCTCTGCTAGCTTCTGCTTCTGTGTGTTGTTTTGAACTAACAAAGAAAACAAAGAAAATTCATAGATGAATTGAAAAACGTTCCACCTGCTAACGAATAGGGGAAAAACACAAGTAGAATAACGAAATATTTACGAATGAGAATCAGCGTGACCGTTGTGCCACTAAAGTGGCAATTTTGCCACTTTTTTTCGCCTTTGCTACTTTTGTGATACTTTTTGATTTTGATACAAAATGTGCCACTTTTTGAATTTTTGTAAAACTTTTTGCTACTTTGTGCCACTTTTTTTAAAAAAGTACATAAATTAAAGCGATTTTTCATAAAACATAATGATTTGTTTTGTAATATTGTATCAGACGGGTTCTAGGGTTCAGTTTGTAATAGACGGAACGATTTTTATTTTTATTATTAGGTCGCATTCGCATTTCGGTTTGTTGAATTTTCGATTTCTATTTGTGAATAACAGTCTGTTTTTATAAAATTCTAAACGAACGAATTCGAGTGACTTATGCCATGTTCCCGTCGAACAACGTAGTTCGCTCTCAGAATTACGTACATGAATTAACCCGTTCATACAACACTATTCTTAATTCAAGTCATCAGAGTTTTTTATTTCAAACTTTTTGTTTCTTGTTTTACACCAAAATTGTAACATGGATCTAAATAGAAAAAATAATTCTCTTTCTCCTGACTATAGCATGAACCCATATCAATTTACTTTTAATTCATGTTTTCCATTTTTTCTGAAAATATTGTTGTTTTCATACATTTTTATAAAATTTTTTTTTTATAAAAAATTGGAAAATTTTTGTTTTGGTTTCCCCACATTTGTTTCTTGTTTTGCACGCTAATTAGAACCAAAGGGGAAAAAATGCATATTGCATTACGAAGATAACAAAATTTACATCCTGCTGCATATATAAAAACTAGACAATTTGTTACTTTTCATTCATCATTTTCAATTTTACTGAAAAAGTTTAAAAATTTTATAAATATTTTCTAGCTGTCAAAATTAATTTATTTTCGATAAATGCTCTCAATTGTTAGGGATGGAATGAATTTCTTTGTTGTTTGGAGAGTGATTCGAATTGAACTACGTACAAAGTTCGGTGTTCGCTCAGAAAAATTTGTATGGGGAACTAAGGAATTACTTCATAATTAATGGTCGAACGACGAATGAGAGAGCGAACAACGCTCGTCTGTACTTGGCATTACGACCAAATTCCTTGTCATTTATTTTTGTTTTGAATCAGAAAACCTTTATAAACATAAATAAAGGTTTGGTCGTAAGTCACTCGAATTCGTCCGTTTGGAATTTTACAAAAACAGACTGTAAGTAATTAAAAAATAAATGTTATTCAATAACAATATATGGTCTGTTCCCTTACTGCAAGAATGTACTACTTTTTACTACGATAACGAATTTTCCTTTATGATATCGAAAAAAATAGTAAAATCTAGTATATACCGCTTATATATTGTAAGAATATGTGATTTTATTTAGTTTTTTTCAGTTTACTGTATATACAAAAACACACATAAATGAATTATTTGTAATGTTTTATATAGTTTTTTATTAAATAAAAAGTAAAAAAAAGTGTGCCACTTTTTGTGACACTTTTTCAGAAGTTAGGTGCTACTTTTTTTAAAACATGATACTTTTTGTGATACTTTTTGAAAATTATCAGCGGTCACGCTGAAGAGAATGCATGGTTACTCATCCGCAGGGTTCTATAAATCGATTTTTCTGTTTGTGTTTATCGATAAATGATTGGTTGTGGGTAGAGTGGTGTGGCAATATGACAAATATGTTGATCAAATAATGCAAAAATGCGTTTGAATAACATTGTGTTGGATGGTGGCATGATGCAATAATAAGGTGATGTATCAAAACAAAAACATTTGTTTTTATCCCGACCATCTGTCAAATTTGTCCGTATAATATTTCACATGGTTGGCAACATTGCACATCGAATCCAAGTAGAAATTACACACTACGACAGTTAATCAATACAACAGCTAAATGGACTACCTTATCATTGTGTCATGGATGGTGGCATTGGGCCTCATGCATAAAAACGAGCAAAAGCGATGAGTTGAGTCAAGCTAGCAATTGCTCGTAAGTTGAGTTAGATCGAACAGGAACTGCTTTTGCTCAATTTCGTATGCATAAAAATGAGTTCAAACCAATTGCAAATACTTGAGCAAATTGAGATCAAACTTCTAATTGTTATAGTGGAAGTGAATTAGAAGTAGCAGTGAATACTAATAATAAAATAGAAACTGACGATATATCTGCATTTTTAGTACAACAAAAATTAAAGAAAATAAATAATCACTTTGAAAAAGTCAGTTACCAAGTGTCAAAGAAATGAAGCAACATTTGGAATAGAAATGACGGACTATATTATTATTAGGGTTTATGTTATTATAATCCACACCATAAGGCGGGCAAGGACCTCCTAAAGTATATGTATTTTCCTGATCAAAATCAATTATATCCATACCCGTCTGTTGAAACCCGAATATTTGCAAATACTTGGCTAATATTCCTCAATTTTTTATTCCGTTTATAACATCTCGAAATATTCACCTAAGACCCCATAAAATATATACACTGGTGGCCAAAACTAAAGCAACTGAAATTGCAAACTGAATTAATGACCCGTAGCTTTTTTTTGAAAATAAAGTTATAGAGAAAGTTTTTTTTTAAGAATATAAACGTGACATTTATTTCGAAATAAAAATAAATTCTATGGAAAACTACATTGACCCAATTTTGATTTTATTCTTTTTTATAAATAAGCAAATTTAGCTAGTAATCGACAGCAAACCCGTTATTTTTGATTACACCCACGAGACATTGAACCTATACGATCCAAAATTTGATCCTTTGATGCACTATTCTTCACATCCTGAACCTTTGAGAAGAGGTTATGTTTGCTTGTTAGTGAATCCCTTTGAATTTTGCTATCGATGATGATACAACGATTTTTCTATAGGGTGAAGATCTGATGATTATGTTGGCCATCATAAAATCCTGATTTGAGACTCCCGCAACCAATCGCTGACAAGTTTTGGTTTATGTCTGGGGGTTATTGTCAAGCTTCAACACAAAATATTCATGAAATATTTGTCCAAAATCATTTTCTGTGATAAATTATGTTCACAATCACTGATAATTATTCATTTTAGTGTACGCGAGTCAACTAAGAGGCATGCTCAACAAAAGTTAAGCAAGAGCTCACAAAAGTAAGCAAAAGCTTGTTTTTATGCATATGAAAATGAGAACAATCTCATCCAACATCAATTTCTAAGTTCAAACTGAGCAAGAAGAGATCAAACGTGAGCAGTGAGTAAAAGCAAATACATCAAATTTTATTATGCATACGACAAGCACCTTTTACTCAAAAAATCGAGTCCGAGCTCAAGCTCACGTTTTATGCATGAGACCCATTATCTGAAGCATTAATCTTCTTTAGCATTAACATACTAAACGGTACGGAGATGTAAATCCACGAGTTAACTATTTGTAGGCAAACGTCTACTATATTTTACATTTTGCACGTTATCAAAAATGAACATTCGGTATCGTAGAAAAAAGCAATAGATTCCACATTATTATTGAAAATACCGAAGGAATACGACATCTTGATCGGCAAACAATTCTCAAGAATTTTAAAATATTTTGTCGGCGCTGGGAGCTTAATGTTCAACATTTTTGTAGAATATTTTTTTTTCTGTTCCCGTATAATAAAATAACAAATTTCATTCCTTTTTTATTATATTGTAAAAGTGTTCGAATTGTATTCGGTTTGGTGCTTAGTCCTGATTTAGATTAGGCGAGTTTACTTGCGGCAACTCTTATCGTTCTCTTTTGAACTTGCTTCATGCGTCTATACAAGGCAATTCGGTTTCAAAATATTTGTTTTTTTTTACATTTTTATTTTGTATTTTTGTGGAAATAAATACTAAACAAAAAAGAAAATTAAAGGAAATAATAGACATATGAATATAGCAGAAAAAAGTACCCTCATCGAACATGTTCTGCATTCACGAAATTAACAAAACGAATTACCCGAAATTGCCGGTACGAGCAATTTTTTCCATTTCTATTCTCCTTGCACCTCTCTCCTAGTCCTGGTTTATATTAGGCGAGTTTACTTGCGGCAATTTTTATCGTTCTCTTTTGAACTTGCTCCATGCGTCTATACAAGGCAATTCGGTTTCCAAAATATTTTTTTATTTGTTGTTTTTTCACATTTAAATATATATAAAATGTCAACAAATACGAAATACACAAAACGAATTGCCAGAAAATTGTCGGTACGAGCAATTTTTTTCATTTCTATACCCCTTGCCCCTCTCTCCTACAAACAAAGACTTGCCGCAAGTAAACTCGCCTAATCTAAATCAAGACCTACAACAAAACTTGCCGCAAGTAAACTCGCCTAATACGATGTTCTGACGAGCACTCGAACAACGCAGTTCGTTCTCAGAATTACCTACATGAATTAACCCGTTCATACAACACTATTCTTAATTCATGTCATCAGAATTTTTTTTTTTTCAAACTTGTTGTATGGGGAACTAAGTAATTACTTCATAATTAGGGGTCGAACAACGAATGAGAGAGCGAACGACGCTCATCTGAACATGGCATAATATAAATTGGGACTTAGTTTTTGATTCAAGACAATTGGTCTGTTCTCGTACTGCAGGAATCTACTACCTTTTACTCCGACAACGAATTTATTGGTCTGTTCCCGAACAGCAAGAATCTACTATTTTTAATCCGAATAC